TATGGCAGAGATATGGAACAGGAAGCCAGGAGGGAACTATCGCTTGAATTAGGAAAGCCCGTAAATCCTTGCGGGTTTTTCGTAGATGAAAATCTTCCCTTTTTAGGGGCAACGCCTGATGGCCTTATAGGTGATGATGGCATTGTTGAAATTAAGTGCCCTTATGCAGGAAAGGACCTATCACCCGATGATGTAATTAGTAAAAAAGTAGGGGAAGTAGGTAAAATGTTTGTAATGGACAAGCATTCCAAAAGCTTAGTGGTAAAACCAAAGCACAAATACCATTACCAAGTGCAAGGACAATTACATATTACGAAAAGAGATTTCTGCGTATTTGTGTTATGGACACCTGTTGGTATGAAAAGATTCATAATTAACCGGGATGACGACTTCTGGCGAGTTGAAATGGAATCTAAGTTGACAGATTTCTACATGAACTGCCTTTTACCCGAATTAGTGGACCCAAGAAAACGTAGGAGTATGCCCCTAAGAGAGCCTTTGTATATTTTGGAAGCGCAAAAGTCAAGGGAGGAAAAGAAAGAGCTCGCAAAACCACTGCCATGCCTGTAGAGTCTGTAGTATTTTGTAAATAACTCCACATGAACCATTTTACAGTATTGCAACGTTATTTGTGATTTTTTGTATTGTAATAATGAGTTATTTGTTTTGTAAAACTTTGTATATCTGTATGAATATTGGTTTTATACCGATATTTTCGAATTTGTATACTTTATTTAATACTTGACTTGTTGTTTAAGATTGTCCGTAGTATTTTGTAAATAACTCCAAATGAACCATTTGACAGTATTGTACCCTTATTTGTGATTTTTTATTTTGTAATAATGAGTTATTTGTTTTGTAAAACTTTGTATATCTGTATGAATAGGGGTTTTATACAGATATTTTCGAATTTGTATACTTTATTTAATACTTGACTTGTTGTTTAAGATTGTCCGTAGTATTTAGTAAATAACTCCAAATGAACCATTTGATAGTATTGTACCCTTATTTGTGATTTTTTATTTTGTAATAATGAGTTATTTATTTTGTAAAACTTTGTATATCTGTATGAATAGGGGTTTTATACAGATGTTTTTCAATTTTTATACTTTATTTAATACTTGACTTGTTGTTTGTTGAGCGTCTGAAAATCACCCCATGATTATTGATGTTTTAAGAGCGTTTCATATTTCTCATTCCACAATTTTGGTCACTTGAACTATTTTACATAATTATAGATTTCATTTTCCAACATGTATAGCCTCCGGATTACCAACATACAATATAAGTGGTTTAAATACTTGTACAGTAATCCAAATGTTAATTTGGTTAATGCAAGTAAGTTTACACTTACGTGTAAGCTTCATTTATTTATGTAGCCCTTTTGTGTATAGTTGTTAATTATTTGACAGTAATTTTAAATATTATGTTTCCTGTAAATAATAGTGTAACGATTTATATTTCATTTTAATTTATTACAAAATGTCACAGTGTATATTAATAACAATGTTTTTCAAATATACAAATTATTTAACCAACAGTTCGAAAAATAATGTTTTAAGCTGTAGAGCTGAAATAGGGTAGCCCTTACTGTATGTCATGTTTCTGTAAGACTAAATGGGAAAATATATTATTTTGAAAACTTTTTGCTATGTATTGATTGATTTACATAATAGGCCCACATCATAATTATTTGTATCTTGTATTGTATTATTTACGCAAATATGATGACTAATAAAATGTAAATACAAAAGTTAGCTGTTCGTCAGACAGTAAACATAAGTGGAAAGTGAGCCATTATTACATAATATCATTGACTATATATACCTACAGTAGGTATATATAGTCAATGATAATATTTGAGACCATTATATGTTTGAAGTATGAGATTTATCGAGCACTTTAAATAAGGCCGAGAATATTTTAGACCCTTTTTCACTCGCTCTTTGAACGTTACTTTTCGCTACAATACATAAATACTAAAGATTTTTAATAACAAAAACCAGAGCACAAAAGAAAGAACTCAATTAAATAGCTGTTTATACAGTTAATAGGTACATTAAAAACCGCATTGAATTTTTTAGGTTATGACTTCAATTTGAAGTTGATATATTCTTTGGTTGTACAGTTTTGGTTGTTAAAATTGAAATAGTTGACTAGTTGACAAAACAATAACAAGTTTTTGTTAGTTTACGTTCGAAAAAATCAAAAAAGATGGTTAACAATACTTTTGCATAGTACTAAATTTTGTTTGACTGCAGCTGGAACACCTAAACATAAGTGAGAGTTGAGAGAGGAACACAGCAACACAGCAGCAGTTCAGTTACAAAGGTTGTACTGTTGCTGTACCGAGAATGTGTGAGTCACTACCATCAGTTTCCCTTCCCACAGGTTCCGCTCGACAACCATTCTGCGTTTAGCGCAATTGCCGCGCGTCTACGTAGTTCTCTAGACGGCTAAGAGAAAGCGCCACCGCCGCGTGTAGTTCTCTAGTTGACCGTGTGACAGCGCGTAAGTCGATCTCGCTGGCTGGGCTAGGCTCCAACGACTCTTAAATCCATTATTCCTGTAACAGCTTAACTAGCATTTTTTTTTGTGTTTCTAGCTCTGTATTTGTTGTCAGTGACTAAACTTCATTGTATCCACACTGATTATCTTTGCTAAGATTCAACTTTACTGTATCCCTAATATTTTCTTTGTAGTTTCCATTACTGAGTTATTATTTTCCTACAGAATGTTTTGGCGGGAGCGTTGTTCGGAGTTTTGAAGGGGTTCCCACTGTGTTGTCTACTCACTGCCTCAGGAGCCACTGCTTGTTATCTCATGTCTCGAGCTTTCGGATCTTCAGTGCTCCAGCAGTACTTTCCCTCACAGATCAAGTTTCTCAAAGAAAAGGTAAACTGTATTTGTAAACCCGCTCATCCAAAATCAAATGGTTAGGCACGTTCAATAATTTGGCACTGCACTAATGGCCAAGACAAAATTTGAATGCTGCTTTAAGCCATATTAGCAAATTCAGGTGAATCTGAAGCCATCGTCAGAGACGTCAAGAGAATGGCAAACGTTTAGTTGCACTCAATAAAATATGAGGGCGTTTCATTTCATTCATTTTGAACACTTTATAGACCTAAAAAACATTAATAAAACTTGAGAGAAAGTACAACCTGTTTGGGAATAACACAAAACACATTGGGAATAAATGGGCTGCCAACTATTTCCTTCTGAAAATTAGTGCTATTACTGTCCCACAGTAACGAATATTTTTAGAAGACATTCAGTAATTAGGCACTATCAATAATCTGGCACCAACAAGGTAACAAACTTGTCAGTTTAGCTAATATCTACTGTAGTCATCACTTGTTCATTCGAACACTGTTACAGTATTCTAGTGTCGCAATCACCATCTCAGAGCAAATAAATATTGAACAAGATAAGTGGTGGTTTTTATTAATGACCAATGTGGTAGTTCTCATACAAAGTATATCCTCTATCATGTCAATTTAAAAAAAAAAAATCTATGATATTAGGCCTACAAGCCTACCCTATTGTATAAAACAGTTTTGCTCATGTCTTGATGTTTTTGCAGGTAAGCCGCAATTCAGACAGGTTAGTTTACTACCTCCTGTTTCTAAGGCTGTTTCCAATGTCGCCCAACTGGCTCATCAATCTTCTCTCCCCCATTGTCGGAGTTCCTCTTCACGTCTTCTTCTTTACTGTTCTTATTGGTGAGTATTGTGTTTGTAGTACATGGAAACATTATATACGAAAACCCCTCTAATCCATTGTTTACAGCAAAGTGTTAAGGTAAACTTACCTTAAAAATAGTCTGAGCAATGAAACATTACAGTAGACAATTGCTAACTAACATTTGTGACTTTTGCAATGCCAGGTGACTGAACGTCTTCTAAAAATAGCCTTTATTGCCGCTTTGATGTTTACTGATCGCTCCTGACTCCGACAGTTGCTCTGACTCTTTCGATCACACCTGAATATTTCAAATGCTGATATAGCTCAAAACAGCATTCAAAAAAATGTTCATAGAGTATTCAACAGCAAAATTAGTGATATACATTTAAAGAAGTCTAAATAAAAGTACAAGTTAATAAACATTTTCGCTAAACATATAAGGAAAATGTTAAATGAATGTTTCGTGATCGTTTTTATTCAAAATTTCATTTCTCGGTTAACCCATTGGCGCCGACTTACGAGCGTTACTCGTACGGCCGCTGCAGGCCCGGAGGCCGACTTACGAGAGCCGCTCGAGTCACCGCTAGGCAGCGCCATTTTTTATTTAGTTATTATTATTTTTCGCCCTTTTTGTTTCTTCTTACTATTATAATGTTTATAAATATCTTGCTTCTTGATTTGCGTATATACTCATTTATTTTAGCGAATAACAAACAATTTTGTGTTGCCATGGAAACCACATATCACCAAAAATCAGCTGCGGTAAGGTAAACAAACAATTTAAAAAAAATGTTATTACTTATAAAAGTACACAACTTTTGATTTTTCTACGTAGGGAATCGATCGACCTTTATAATAGTAGTGTTATTTGGTGTCTGGATTAATCTTGGAATTTGTATATCAAGTTTACTTTCAAAATTTTGTTTTTAAAATTTTTATTTTTATAATCTTTATTTATATATATTTTTTTAGTTTACAACTTTGACTATCCAATTAACACTTTTCTGTAGACAATTTTACTGTGAACAAAATGGTGAAAGAATTATTAATTTATTACCTAAGGGTTTCTTCCTATAGCAGTTAGAGTAAAAGTGTACAAATTCGGTAAAATTAATTGCCGCCAGAGGGTGCTGCAGGTAGCGGATTAATTCCTTTCCCAATGGGTTAACTATGTTAATTTTCTAGAATTTTTACTTTTGACTATTTGGATGTAACTTTTAAGGATTTTAAATTATTTGCTCTTAAATATTTTAATCTCTTTAATTACATTTTAAAAATACAAAATATATGCAGTTCACAAAATGCTTGAAATAACAATACAATACTATTTAAATAAATAAAAAAATACTTGTAACATCACAAAGTAACACGTAGATTCAATAACATTAAAGCATTGGGGAATTTTACATTGTAAAACAATTTTAGAGAGTTTAACCCTTAACCTTTTTCATTTGGATTTTTCATATTAATTTTAAAACGTATTGAATAAAATTATTGTGCTGAGATAGAAGGTAAGTGCTTCTATCTCAGCACAATAATTTTATTCAATATGTTTGGATAGGTCAGTTTAGTAAGGCCTTGTATAAGGATTCATCTTCATCATGTGTATATGGTTAAAGATACTTTAAGTGCCTGCATATTTTATGTGATGGGGAAACCTTACATTAACTTGACCAAAATTGGATCTATAAATGTTTAAATTTGTTGCATTATCATTATAGTTTCATGAAGCTACTTAAACACACAGGACTTTTTTACAAAAATAATTATTCGTTCTCACAAAATATAATTGAGTTGTTGGTTTGTAGGTCTGATGCCGTACAATTTCCTGTGCGTGCAGGCCGGTGGAATGTTGGCAACCCTGAGGTCAATGGATGACGTGCTGAGCTTCACCACACTTCTACAGTTGGCAGCAATGGCTGCCGTGGCTCTCGGACCGAGTTTCATCCTAAAGAGGAAACAATCTTTCAGAGACTCATTTGACACGTCAGAAAACTCTGAGAAGAAAACACTTTAGTGATATGTGACGCTGTGACGGTTAATAACATGATTTTCACTGTGACATTCCACGATTTTAAATATTTTATTATTTTTCACGCTGGACTGATTTAATCTTGGAGAGTTTTGTGATGTGTGATTTGTTATGTGTACCACCTTGTTACCTGTTTGTGATAGTTTTTTTCAAGTACAACTTTTTCTAACAAAGTAGTGATGATGCCTAATTTTTTAACATAGTCTATAGTTTCCTCGGCTGGCTTAACTTAAGATAAAGTTAAGGCTCTATAGTTTCAACTCTCAACACCCTTCTGTGGATTACAAATACGTCTTAAAACTTTCTGGAAATATTTAAAAACACAGAAATAATTAAGGAAGGACAAGTTTTGGAAACCATGAGGGATTTTATATTTTTAATGCAATGGTTTAAACAATTTTAATCGTATTTATAGTAATTGTAAAAATATAGGTAACTTACTGAAATATTTAATTAACTATATATATAATAATAATAATTATATAAATAATGAATGTTTTAACTTAACCACCCATGGAAAGCTCTTGGTTTTTAGGAACTTGATGATGGGAATATTCTAAACTAGGGTTCAAATCTTAATTGTGCAACAAACCATATCAGCTTTAAACAATTGAAATTTTGACAAAATTTAGACCACTGACGGAGGGTAGGCTTAATCCGTAGCCAAAAAAGTCATATTTACGTAGTCCAGGGCCTATCAGAATGAATATTAATACTTACTTTACATAGCCTTCATCTGAGCCATCAGATCGTCGAGGCTGACTGCTGTGTCAGTGACAGTGTCTGCGTTGTCTGTCTGTGTAGATGACTGTGGGACAGAGTACGCAGCCCGAACCCCCTCCACTAACCCCTGCACTGCAGGAGCATCGTCTTGCAGCTGTTCTGCTGGCGTCTCATCCACTAGACAGATACCTACAAACATTTAAGACTTGTGTAATTAATCAAATCAAGTGACATTTGGGATTTCAAATTCATTTTGTTTTTGTGATTAGGTTATTTTTTTATCCACAAATTCTAAAATCCTTAAAATATTTTTTTTAAACACATTGCAACATACTTTGTTTTGGTGTTTACTGTTTTTCATTTAAACTAATTTAATCTGTGAAAACTTTAATTTTCCTACTTCAAAATTATATAAATTCTTATACAGAACTCAAGTTACCCAATCTCCACCACCCGGATTGTTAACCATCGTAATCACTTCAAGATGAGAAGTTGTCCATTCAAAATGAAAAATTGTCCATTCAAAAAGAAAAATTAACACTTTTACAGAATTTTTATAACACAACCGAAACCCTGAGTCTGTTAGACCCCGTTTGAAAATAATGTACCCCGCATAGAAAGAAACCCACAAACCGAAACCCTGGGCCTGTGAGACCCCGCTTTAAAATACACTAACGCTGGGCTTCTGAGACGGGCATGTTATGAAAAGACGACCTGCCAAGGTCAAGGCACTCAAGCAAAATTAGCAAACAATACATCAACAGGTAGGGGAGGAAAAGGTATTGGGGGAATGGAATCCCGCAAGTAAACAGTATTGCCAACATGTGTTTGTGAAAATTCTTTTGGGTCTGTCAGACCCGGGGTTTCGGTAAGTGTTAAGCTAGTTGCAGTTTTTGCTGTTATTTTAGACATCCGATCATGTGATGAGTCTATGATAGTGTCTTATCGATTGGCAGGCGATTAAGTTAGGCTATAATTCCCTTGTCTTTCTGATTTTTTACTATTCGGCTGGGTTCAGCTCCATTTATCTCAATGTCATGATACGCCTCTAAATCAAAGGAGTTAACGGGTTTAAGGTTAGGGGTTAATAAAGGTTTAAGCTACCTGTTGTCTGTCAAAATGATCATGTTGTAGTATAATTTACTATAGCTGATTCAAATTGTCATAAATGGAGCTCATTTTCAGGTTTGAATGCCTTACTAATGATTTCTAATGGTGATGTTCTTCATCACTGACCCAGGAGATTTAAATAAAGCGAAAAATACATAAAAAAATTAACAGACATGAAACTAGATTTAATAAACTGGTCGACCAGATTATTAACACGTAACGTTCCTAAACTCACCCCACTCATTATCCTCGTGCACCACAGGTTTCTCCTCCTGTTTGCTAGCGACAACCGGAGTGACTTCAACTGGAGGTTTGGCAGCTTGTTGAGCTCTGCAGTAGCTGTCATCACATCCTGTGTTGGGTCTGAGCTTCATCTGGGGGAAGAAATCTGTCAGAGCGTTGTATCCGAGGTACCACGACACTTCTCCAAACTTCAACAAGTACCTGGAAAACAGATTAAATGGATTAGACAGGACTAAATGGGTAGCATGGATAGTTGCTGCATGTATATATTTCTTGCCTAGTAAGAGATTGCTTTTCAGAGAAATTTCATTAGGCCTATAAACAACCCCCTCTCTTCAGCTCAACTTTCAGTGACAGTGATGTAATATACATATATAACATTTGCATAGTGTACAGTATATGTTTCTTGTGCCAGATGGGACTTTTTGCATTCAACTAAGCCTGCTATCCTCACAAACTCCTTAAAATATTCAATATCTGCCGTCTGGAAGACTTACTTGAGAGTGTTTTGAACTAAGAATCCAGCGACGACTCCCATTGTAGTGGGTAAACTAGCTGCACACACTCCGTCTTTCTTCAATGTCCTCTCATCCACATTAGAGGCGACAATTAGTGGTGGGGCACACTGTGGAAGAAAAAACAGATATTGCTTGAGAATGAGAATGAGAATGATTTATTTCCTGAAAGCATAATATGTGCTTTATAACAATGTATATGTTAATTAATATCAACTTTTTTACCCTGACCATATTCCTTCAATAAATCTCTTACGCAAATAACTCATTTAAGTGCACAAATTAAAATAATATTTTATAGAGTAGGACACCAGTTAAATTACATGTTATCACCTAAGTGTTTGTATCAAACAACGTTAGGGGAAGAATTTTCTTTTATGTAAGCTTACTAAACTATTGATGGAACAATTTTGAAAAGTACACTCTATATGCTTACAACAATAAAAATACATAATCATCCAACCGTTCAAGTAGCAGTACCTATAACAAAAATAGAGGTACACAAGACAAAAAATTCAGGAAATATCTATTTATCTTTTCGTAGGAGGATTTGAGTACTAGTGGGATTGTTTAGGGGTAGAATCTTAATATTATTGTAATTTCAGAAGACATCTGAAAGTTTCTACAACTGCTTGTAGGACATAATCATGGCTACGCTGCAATATTGGAAGATGATAAAGAATGCACTATTATAAATCATAAATGATTTTAATTCCACCAAAGTTAAGAGAAACAACTAAAATCTTATAAAAGCATTTTTATAATAACTTGTATTCTGAAATCAGTATCTAGCTAGAGATCTCTCAATTACAGGTAATTTAAATGGTACGCTTTGTAATAATTGAAATAGATAAATTTGTTTAAAAAATTAATTAATTAAATACTTTCAATGAGGAGCTAATGATTCCTTAGTTTGTTTACTAAAAAATTTAAAATTAATGTTTGCAAAGCAAAACTTATACAGACCGCAAAGCAGGCGCTTTCCCCCGGCACTATGAGCTGTATATGTCCAGAGACAGCGTTTTCAGAGACACCCGACTCAAACCACGTCTGTCCCAGCTCATTACATGCTGTGTTGATAGCCATCCTCGCCTCGAAGTTATCAACACAGCTGAGCACTAGGTCTACTGCTCCTCCAGTCAGGCTGCCGTGACTGCAAACATTACAAGATATTGTAGAGATAAGGTGTGTTGTACCCTGACGTCCAACGTCCAATATATCAGAACCTAAAAATCAAAATTTCCAATTAAAACTATATTGCATGGTAACTGAATAAAACATCTGAAAATTATCACTTCCAAGTACCCTGGCAAAGGGGAGGAGCTGGTCTAGTGGTAGAGCGTGGGACTTTGAGACTTTGACGGTCCCTGAAGTCCCGGGTTCAAATCCTACCAAATCACAGATGGATTTTGTCCAAGTGAAAATGTCACAACCCCTAGGTCTAGCATGAATTAATGTGAAAACCATCCTTAGGGACAAAAACAAATTGGAAGTCAAGTTTAGAACTACTTTTGTTTTGGGCTTTTGGTAGACCAGTAATGGTCTAGGTTAGTCTGATCAAAGGATAAATTTTCTAAAACATTGTCTCCCCGGCTAGAAGACATCACTCTAAATTGATGGTTCTAACCCCTTCTCGGTCAGGTCTAGTGTGGAACTCATAAAGTTTAACAGTGTATGGCAGAGCCTAGCAGGAGAGATCTAATGAATTGTGAAAAGGTTAAATAACAATTATTTTTTTAATAGTTTGGATTTTTATGTTCATAAGATAGGAGAAAACATTATAAAAAGAGGCATAGTTAAGGTTAAAAATGGTTAAGGTAGGTGAACCTATCAAAGAATCCCCATCATAGTAAATCCAGTGTTGCACACCGAGATTATTGCAAAGGTGAGTGAGCAGAATCTGGAGAAAACCTCAAGCAGAATCTCACGCCTATAAACATCGCTATCTTCAAAGCTACCTAGGTTGGATTGTTATTGGGCTCTTGCTAGTTCAAATTCAAGATCATCTTGGATAATTTGAATGTCACTGATTCAATTCTTAAAAAATGCAGTAAATGTTCTGGACCTGGACCCAACTGTTCTTGATCATTGGGTGCCAGAAATGTCCCTGGCTAAAGAAATTATTTAAATTAGACACAAAACCCCGTGATAAAGCCTCTAAGATATCTTGCAATCATTTGTCTCCCTCCCTTTCCCAATTTAGTCCCCTCACATGTACAATAGCTATAAAACCATTTCAAGCTTACCTTATTCGGTCCATGAAGTGGGCGAAGTTGTCCATAGTTGTGATGTTGTAATTGTGAGTCTCAATGGTGACGTCAGGGTTTATAAACGTCAAAGTGTTTGCAGCTGCTTCTACCTGATAAAAAATATTAAGTTCAGTTCTCAGTTTTAGGTTGACAGTAATTTGTCGTTTTGGATAGCTTTTAGTTATCAATTCAAAACTAATTTTAAAAGGCTCTTCAGTTGAATAGTAGTAAGCCTGGAAGATAGATAGCTGTTACACATCCGAAATGATGATTGTTAGCTCAGTTTATTCAATGACGCAGTCATCGCCTGAAGACCTAGATGTGACCACAGAGAAGTAAAGTAATAGCTATTTACATTACAAGTGTAGTAAGAGCGTTTTTACATCACGCAGGTGAATGTTGTGCAACGAGCGAAGGCGAGTTGCATAATTCACCGAAGTGATTTAAACATGAATTCACATGAAGTGATGTAAACACGCTCTTGCGTAACGTGTAACGTACAAGATTTTACCTGACCCGACAATATTCAGGAGGTTACGAGCAATATGCTTCATTATCAATTTCACTCATCTTCTAACAGTAACGTTCATTTACAAACAAAAGCTAGGTTAGGAAAATTCTTCAAAGCATAACAATAAAATTCAAACACACAGCTGATTTCTAGCGTTGAACGTCGTTGGCTCCATAGAAGTATATTTTTTAAGTTATCCACTCAATGTTATTTAAATGGGTTTCATTACATCACCGAGTGAGTTTTTTTCAACTTTACATCACTCGAGAAGTAAGGAAGTTGTATACATCACGCTTGGGATAGGGAAGTTTAACATGGCGGGTTAGGCAAATATATTTATATTACTTCTCTGTGATGTGACTATCTACTGTGACCGTGGGAGGATATTATCTAGATTTCTAATAGATTTTTAGTATGTAACAAAAAGTCACAATAAAAAAAACAATGATTTTAAGAGTTACAGGGTTCTAAGCCAGGCTTACCTTAGAAAGGCCCGACTGATGTGGCTGGAAGAATAATCTGTTCATATTGGCAAGTTCAACCTTGTCGTAATCAAATAAAAGTAACTGAAACAAAAGAATTGGAGCCTGTTAAAAAATTGTGGACTAACACTAAAACATGACTAAAATGTTAACACATAATATTGCTTGATTTACGTTGGGAAGAATTAAAATTTAAAATTTGTTTAAACACTTTTAGTTTTGAATAATGCGGCTAATTTACAAAAGGACAATTAGAAACAAGATGTCGAGATTATTAACAAGGAAGAATGTATTTTAAGTTAGAAATTATTATTACTTGGATGCATACTGATTTCACATCACTTTATTTACCCTATTTTTTCCTTTAGTTTTGGTTTTGGCAAAACTGACATTACAACTGGCATTTTTTTGGACTTGTCTAAAGCCTTTGACAGTGTAAAGCACTCAATTTTATTACAAAAATTACAATCTTTAGGAATGTCGAAAAATTCTCTAAATTGGTTTCAGTCATATCTTTGTGACCGCAGTCAGTATGTCGAAGTAACGTTCCTATCAAACTCAAATAAACTTATTAGTATATCTTCAGAAACTCGGCCTGTTAAATTTGGCGTCCCACAAGGTTCAATATTAGGTCCTCTGTTATTTTTATGTTATATGAAAAACATGGAAAATGCCTTGTTATTCCAACCTAATTCAAAATTAATTTTATATGCCGATGATTCAAACTTGAAATTATCATCAGAGACTTTGGAAGAAGCTGAAGTAAATTGTAAACTAGAATTAGAAAACATCAATAAATTTCTCAAGGATAATAATTTATTTTTGAATGTAGGAAAAACTAATTGTATTAATTTTAAAACAAAACAAAACAGAAATAAGAGAAAACCAGTGATAGATTTGAATTCTCAGCAAATTATAACAAAACCAAATGCTCAGTTTCTTGGCTTAACTATTGATCAGCATCTAGATTGGAATAACCATGTGGACAAAATTTTACCAAAAATTAGTTCTGGAATATTTGCTTTGAGGAAAATGTCTTTTTATTGTAATATTGAAACAATGCGTAAAATCTATTTTGCATACATACATTCCCATATTGCTTTTGGGATTTGTTTATTTGGAGCAACTTCAAAAATTAATCTTGAAAATATATTAAAAAAACAAGAATATGCAATTAGAATAATGCTAAAACTACAGCGTGATGCCTCTGTGAAAAAACACTTCGTTGAACTCAATATTTTGACAGTCTACGGACAGTATATTTTTGACTGCATTTTAATGGCAATTAAGAAAGCTGATTCTCGTCCTTCAGATTATATTTCAACCCTTCATAAATACAATACTCGACATAAAGACTCCATAATAACATATAAACATCAAACAAAATTTTTTGAAAAGAAACCTTCCTACATCGGTCAAAGATATTTAAATACAATTCCAAAAGAAATTAAAAAAGAAAGTAATAAAAACAAATTTAAAAAAAGATTAAAAGAATATCTGATTAAAATAGCTCCGTATTCTTTTGAAGATTTTTTCCACCCATCACAGTCATAATGAATAGGTACATAAACGCTTTTTCAGTCTCCTGCATAGAGTGGATGAGATTGTCACTTAGGCTAGTTTGAGTTGTTGTACAACCTGACACTATTCGATGTATATATTGTACAAAATAATGAATAAAGAAGTTTGAATTGAATTGAATTGAAAAAAAGTAAGCAAAAGTATAGCAAAGTAAATTATAACACATTGTGTTATAGATCTTAACTCACCTTGATTGGGCATTAATTAAAAAGATCTTATGTAAAGAATTTGTCAGTAAAATAAATGACATCAGCAATCTGACACATACTTTCTCCCATTGGCTTGTCTGTCAACAATTATAATCAAAATCACTCAAGCTGTTTTTTTTATCAGACTTTTTAATTGAAAAATCATATAATTTACAATAACCTTAGAACCCTAATTTTACAGCAATGGAGGTTGTAGTCTACTGTTTTGTTAAAAGGGCTATTATATCATATTAAATTTTAATCAAAATCTTTTGGGGCATTTTTGAGAAAATGTTATTTCTCCTTTAGGCTAGTTTATAGATGTTTATTGGGGAAATCACACGAAATCTAAATTACAAAAAACGCCTGGGAATACCATGACCTACATAAGTTACCAAATTTTTTTTTAAATCGGACAGCAATTCTAGTCTCTAGTTCTTCACATCCACACACACACAAACATCACTACGAAAATCACTTTCTTGAGATCAAGGGAACCCAAAACGGATATTATACACCCAAAACTCAAACTTAAAAAGGGTTAAAACAATACTTTCTCCATAATTACTTACTATGTACCTTAGGCCTACTACAATAGGGGGAGAAAATAAAAAAGCTTCATGTAATTTCACTTCATTCTAAATTCGACCAGCATTCAAATTACAATTAAAATACATTTACAAAGAAATTTGCTTTTTTAAGTATAATAAAGTTATTAATTTTGACCAAAACCTTAGGTTAACCAAGAAATTTACCATGGATGCACACATAAAATTAATGAGAACATCAATATAATATTGTAGAATAGTACTTGTGAAGGGAAGTGGTTTATGTCACTCTTTGAGGAAGACCAACACAAAAAAGTAGAGCATTAAATTTATACATGAAACAACCTGAGTCATTTTAAATTAGACAAAACAATCAACAACAAAAGTATAGATAGCAAAAGTACTGTATATAGGTATGATTAAATTTTACAGGATTAGAGACAAGTCAATTTTTAGAGAGAACTCGACTCCAAAGTACAAGGAAATTGCAAATATTACGAGATAGTGAAAATCCTTTGTTAAAACAAACGTTTATCAGCTAGAAACACTTTTGATCAAACGAGAAAACAATTGCAATTTCATTTCACAATTATTCTTTTATTGGAAGTGTCAAAAACAATCTCTCAAGTTGGTTGTTTAAGACACTTAATAGCTTTCTATCATCTTGATAAAACTATCTCAAAGATGACCTGTCATAATGTTACTATTAGTGCCACTTGTTTTTAGAACATTAATTTCACGCAATAACAGAGTGGGATTAAGTAATAGGAATATCTAAGAATTGAATAAAGTTTCCCTTGTCTGTGTTTGTGCCTAACAATTATTTTTCTTGGTGGATAATTACGTTGGATTATCCTATAACTTATAAAAAAATACAAGATAAAATAACAATATTTAATATTGTTATTTATCTAAAGGAAAGGAAACATTTTATCCACTCATGCTGTAATTGGAATAACATGTTGCAGTATTCTAATCTTTTATTCATTCACTGTAACACCATTATCTATATCAATAGGTAGGCTACTCTGTCAGAAGCCAATTGGGAGGCGGAGGTAGAGGCTAACGCATACCAATAGTGGTGTGATGTCCGTCATTTTGGTTGGCCATAGGGCCGGCGCGCACTATCCCGACCACGACCACGACCACGACTCAAATGGATACGGCCAGTTTAATAGTAGGCGTAAATGGAATAGCACGCACTGGTCGACTGGTCGGATCCTGGTCGCACAACCAAAGTCTATGCCGTTTGGTCGGGCCCAACTCGCTGGCTGCTACAGCCAGAAATAGCATACAATGTAATGGGACGACACGCACTAACCCCGACTTGTCTCCGACCCGACCAGTATACCTTCAGTATTCCTTGATCAATCACACGGTGGGCACTTGTTTTTTGTGTGGTTTGTGAAGTGACTTCTTTAGTAAAATGTCGCAGGATTTTGACACTGAGAGTTTTATTATAGCTATTAAAGAAAGGCCCTGTTTATGGGATCTATCAGCACATTATGCCAACAGAGGGATGAACAAGGAAGCTTGGGAGGAGATCACTCTGATGTTCTTTGGACGTGATGACGCTACTCAGAAGGAAAAGTCCCAGTTAACATTGGATGTTCTTCCGCTTAACGTACCTACAATAGAAATGCACCACAGCAACTACTTCTTCAACATCCATCTTGACACTGAAGTTAGTAAAACATTCGTTGCATTAGTCGGGTCGCATGGTGAACAACAAAGACCGGTCGGGCCTTTGGTTGTGGTCGTGGTTGGGATAGTGTGCGCCGGCCCATAGTTCATCAAAATTGGAGAAAACTACACTCCCAATGCCCCTTCTATTGTTATTCTGTGTTTGCTGTATTAACATGGTATTCAAAATCACTAGTTTATTACCAGTGCTTACTTACTAGCTGCTCATGTTTAGCTCACGCTATAGTAGGACCTCTAATATCCGGCCTCAGTTTCGCTTGGTTTATCTGATGGCTACTACTCTATAGCCAATATCAAAACGTACATCCCACGGCTTACAGTTGCATAGATGCACGCACTAGATACTCAGTGCCTGGATATGAGGGATTTTATGTTATCAGCTTCTTGTTAGTTAGCATCGTCTAACATAGGCTTACGCCTGTCAATCAAAAATACATTTAGTTACTCACTTTACCGATTCCACAGCGAGTAAGCATCTCAGCAGTGACACTTCCAACTCCGCCCACTCCAACTACAGCTACAGTAAAGTCTCGGATCTTCTCATAGTTGTCTACAATACCCATACGTTTTAGGGCCATTAAACGGCTGCAACAAACAAAAGGTATTGTTATAGGTTATCAAATAATTTTTGTTAGGCTTTTACATCTATGAAGTAGGACCTACTGAAACTTCTCATCATATATGAAACATGCTGCCTAATGTTGACAGCTGCTATTCTAATGAAATTCAATGAACCATTAAATGGATAGGCTACATTTTGGAACTATGTTCAGAGTAGGAGTAAATCCTTTTTACATGTGCCTACTTGTATTGTCAGGGTAAAAAAGGCAATATTATGACCAAGATGTTTATTATTTACTAAACAAAAGGTCAGAATTTTGACTAAGAATATGAGATACCAGCTACGATCTAGTTGGTTTGCAGGATTCAACTACATCAAGCCACCACTTTTATATTTCTTTACTTAAATCGTTATAAAAATCCAGGAGATAATTTCTGCCTAAGGCCAGACATTCAACAAGACAAAAACTTAGCCAAGTATGAGATTATTCTACCACCAGAATGGTTAACTAACGACGAAAATGGTATATAAGACTTCATGAGGTATTTTTTAAAGTGCTGAGATCAAACTGCTGCCGCACCCTAATATACGGTACCTTACTGTTGCTAACCTAGTAATTAGCGTCCCAGACTTTGGTGCAAGGAGAATAAGATCGATTCTCGGCACATCAAAAATTATCCATTATACGCCTGCCTTATGTCAAGCAGAAGTCCATGGAATCACATAAGCCTAGTCCTAGTCTAACTTAATACTTTAAAACTCTATGATATGAACTTCCATTTGAAAGTCATATATATACTGTTGTGATCATAAATGCTACTGTAACCCCCAAGTATAACCACGAAATTATTCATACTACTTTACACTGTAAACTGTAAAATTCTCTATCCATATGGCTTACCTGTAAGGGTTAGAATCAACAACTTCAGAAGACATTTCAGCAATTTTTTGTCTTGTAGGTTGCACATGTTTTGCTTTTTCGTTAGCCAACTCAGTTTCTAGCTTCTTTATTTTGGCAAGCAATTCTTCGTTTGTAGACATTTTAAAAGTATTCGATTTTCTTTTGTAGCTAAAACAGAACTAGACTAGAACACTACTTCTAACCTCAACACTAACAATTTGTGACAGACAGCTCCAACGTCAACAAGTTCCATCACCATATGTTTTTTGGTACACAGACGACAAACGTGTCACAAATACGTGGCAGTTGTACCAGCTGTTTTTTTTTACCTATCAAACGACAATAATAAAGGAGCACCATGTAATACAGACATAATAATGTAGCACTGAATTATTGTATACTTTTTCAAACAGTAACTCCAGACTACGTCATATTGTGGTTTAAGGTATCGAATCTTATCTATAGCTATAACACTCAAATAAGTGTTTATATCGTAAATTATTTGTGTGATTATTCAGATTATCTTAAACAAATCCCTAGCATAATTCAAAATATTTTGACTCTGTCGTACATTATTACTTTAAATCATACCAATTATTTTTCATTGCATCCGAGACCAATTTATCCACAAACTGAAACGCTATCACAGTGGCAGTGGTTGCATTGTTTACAAGCGCGGCGTTTTGAATTGAGATAAACAGACGCGTAAGTTACAACCTGTTTTCGATATTATCCTACATTTTTAACAAACCATTCTTTACACTCTTTTCTCCACGATTTTCACATAGTGAGTTTCGCGCATGACTTATTTACTTATGCAGTGTCATATTTGTCATTGGATCCACTTATCAGGCGAGTGGGAGAGGGACAAGTCACGTGACTTCCCCCACCACCACGGAATACCCGGTGTGTTAAAAGCACGAAGACCTACAACCATAATCACAGTGCGCGACGGTCGTAATCCTGCACTTTATACAGTATCGTAGTCGGTCAACTTTCACATCAAGGTCACCGAGTATAAACAACCATGAGTTGGGGCTACAGCGAAATTGACGGTGAGTCAGACCCTAACACTTGTTCAGTTAATTAAACTTATTGTCTGTATGTAATCGTGCTCTAAAAGTACCGGTACTTGTTTAGTTGTTGAATATACCTTGTTGTATTCGTTAAAATAATTCTTACAACTTTTAGCTCTGTACAAATTTAAGTTTCAATCGCATAAATACCGGTAAGTAAAGCAATTTAATTGCAATTAAGTATTTGTTTACTGTACAACAAAATTTAATGATTGAGTTATTTATACCAGCTATATATTATTTTCAAACAAAATGCGTAGGTACCAGTTAAAAATTATAAATCACAATCCTATTTTATTGTTCCAAAAGAGTTTGTTTCTTTGTCAGGAAGTGGTTGCGGTAAAACCTTTAATTTTTCAATGAGTTTAATTTTTACTTTTTTCAAAAATATTTAATTTTGAAGTCAAAATAATTCCGCTAAATCCTTTGGTCAACTATCAAGTTTACACCATCAAAGTTAAACACTAGACTAAGTGACACGTTTTAAAATACATTTTTCACTTTAAACCAAATTAGTTTTTTAATGAGTAGGATTCTTCAAAACAGTTCTCCAAACAATTAAACATAATAGCAAAATCTGTTTAAAAGTTACTTATTTTCTATCAATATATGGAAATACTTAATAAGTACAACACATTTTATTAGTCACAGTTAATCTAGAATTTAGAGTTCTAAATTAAATACATTTTATACTGTAAACCAAATAAGTTTTTAATGAGTATAATTCCTCAAAACAGTTCTCCAAACAATTAAAAATCTTTGCAAAATCTGTTTAAAAGTTACTTATTTCCTATCAATATTAAGGATATACTTAATAAGTACAACACATTTTATTAGTCACAGTTAATCCAGAATTTAGAGTACTAAATTTATATTCTGTTGACTAACTGCCTTTTCTTATCTAGTAATGTCTTCTCATGCGTTTGGTGACTAACCCATTCGACTTTTACATTAGTTCCAGTTCGTAAAATGTTGTTCTAAGTTCTAAACACACTAAAGCATGAAACTAGGAGAGTTTTTTTATCAAAATGTTTCGCAGTGTCTTCGGGTTACAATAAATTAAACATATAGACCCTACTGGTTTAGTTCCGTATAGGTAAGAATCTAACGATACCATTATCATTGTATTTTCTTCATTTAAACAATTTTATAATAGTAGCTATTCAAAAAATAATAAAACTTGTATAGACGCACCGACACATCATAAAGGTTCTAAAAAGGCGTAAGCTCAGTTAGCTTAATGCCCATTGTACAAGTCAAATTTCTAAGCTTACTATTGATATATCTTAACGAACATAAAAATAGGCACCTGTATTAAAATTATTTTCCAACAGCATATTTCTTAATTGTTTTTCATAACCATAGGTATATATTTGACTTTATAGTACAGGAACTAGGCCTACAATATTTGAAAACTTGTCATGTAAAATAATGTAGATATGCCAAAATTATTAGGATAATTTTTTGCCAGAATCGGTGTTTTGACGCTAAAAGTCAAAACACATGCTTAATCCGAAAACATAGTCTTTTAATATATTAAAATTAAAAATGTATTAAAATTAAAAAGTTATAGTTTTGTTTTAAGTAAACTTAGAACTATACAAATACATGTTGGTCAGGGGCACATAAGTGAAGAGGTCAGCCTAACTACACTTTTCCGTGGGGTAGGCATTTTCCGGTAACAATTGGGGTTGGATTAGGTCATCGTCTTCTTATCACCCCTTCTGTCATCTTAAACCATATGTCAACAAAACTCACAATAGGCTACTATTGTTTTGCAAAGATTTAAATTAAATTCTTGTTAAAAATTTTTTCTTGTATTTCAATTGCAATAGTTAGGGTATGTACGAACCTCAAAGTTGTTTTAGCATAAAATAGCTATTCGTCTATCTTGAAACCTTTAATATATTTTCCAACATTATTTAAAAAAATTTATTTTCTTTTAAAAACTTCAAGGCAGTGTTATATTTTATTCATTTATTGTCTGTTAATATTTTAGTCTATGGTAATTTTTAAAGCCTAATTTGGTTATTTTTGCATATATAATAATAAAATGTAATACACTCATAAATGTAAGAACATCAAAAATTAATAATTTACAAATAAAGAAAAGTAGGTACTACAACCATTTACATTATTACTATTTCACATTAAACTAAAAATTAAATAAAATGAAATAAAATATAAAATTAATGGTGGTTTCTTATGGATTTTTTTTGTGCTCATTTGTGGATGTATTTGTACAGAGCGAAAACGATACACAAATTTGAAAATATCTACTTTCAACTTAAAAAAAAGTCTCTCCTGTATCAGTGATTCTCAAGAACATGTTCTCTTGCTTGGTTTCTTGATTAATACATCAAGAATGTGTCAAACACCTTTGAGATACTTTGTATTCAATAATATAATCGATGTTCCCATTAGGATCAACGATATAAACACATCGTTGATTAGGATTTGATTATCATAGAAGTTGACTTTTTATTGTAGACAAATTTGACGTGATATCTGTCTAACATGTTTATAAACCAATATTAATTTAATTTTTATGTTTTTTCTGGTAAAAATAGTAGGTAATGAATCACTGAATTACGCCAGACACATTTAATTATTTTTACTTATTGCAAATTGAAACTTGCACATGAAATAAAACAACTTTGATAGTAAACAGCGATTGATTTGCTATACATTGAATGTATTTTTTATTCTTCCACAGACGGAAAGACTAAAAGAATTACATGAGTTGAAAACAATCCCCCAGTTGTCGGGTTTCTCGTCTAGGTGGCATAACCCTTCCATCAATACTGTGTCATAACATCTTATCATTGCATCTTCTTATCAGTCTATTTTCGTGTCAAACCCAGTTGATAAGACGAATGGGTCTTATCTCTAAGGTGATTATAGTATTTGTCTTTGGAATGTTGAAGGCATATTAACCTTAAGAATACAATTTGGAAATATTTAATGTATTGTTTCTGATTGGGTTTTTCTTGTGATATTTTTCAAATATGGGCTTACAGTATATGGTATCGCTGTTTTCCTTTTAAACAATATTATACCATTTTGTTTGTTTTACTACATTATTATGCGTGTTACAATACGCAATTGAAGTTTAAGGCTATGTTTGTATATAAATAATTATAAAATGTTGATACAAAAGAACATGGTGGTAGTCAGGGTTGTACCCAGGGGGGGGGGCAAGTAGCCCGGGCCCCGCAGTATTTGAAAACATACATTTCATTCAAAACCCCCCAAAGGATGTGATCCCCACCAGTCACCCCCCCAAACTCTATCCCTGGGTGCGCCCCTGGTGGGGAAAGGTTCCTAAAATCAATTAATTATTAATTTATTAGCAGACCTAATTTACCTGCCAAATTCTTATAATAATTCAAGATGAATTGACATTTGCTTCGATTGAAAATCGTGTCGTTAGTATTAAGTCCATTGTTAAAAATACGACTGAAACACTTCACCTTCACGTATGGTGATGAATTTAGCTGTTGGAATCGTACAAAATATTTTGTATAGTTAACTGAATTGAAACTACATTACTGAAAATTCATTTTCTTATCAAGAGAATGTCTTAATTGCATTTCGTGACTAACCTATTAGGTTTCACGTTAGTTTTAGCTCGTAAAACTATTATGCTCACAATAAACCTTCAAACTAGGCGTGGTGACTGATAAAGTGTTATGCAGCATATTCCCCATTAGTCACTAATAAAAATAATAATGACAAATATGTTTGTCGTGCTTATTTTCTACATATAACTTATCTTAAACGATCTTGAGCAAAACTGATGTTGAGTCAATGTTTCGTTTCTCGAATAAGCTGCTTTGTTTATTATAATGGATTATTTTGTCAATTTGAAGTTTGCTTCACGTCATAGTCCAATTATAGGGTTATGTGCCATAGTGAGCAGGTTTTTTTTTGTTTCTATAAATCCATTAGTGTTGGATATCGCACTAATAGTATTTTGTGGATGTATGACGTCTAATAGTTATTAATTTATTTGTATGGTTCATCTGGGAGTAGTTTCGTTCAATATACAGGGTGTCCACAAAATAACTGAGACATTTTAAAGGTCTATATTGATTCCAAATAAAAGACTATGTTTAGTGTTTAATATATACAGAGTGAATAACAAGTCAAGACCCCCCCCCTCTAATATTTTTCTAAGTAATATACATAGATATACATACTTTTGGTGGTCTTGCAATCTTAGCAGGATGTTTTATTTTATGATTTTGAAATTATGATCGTTCCCCAAAAAGGGGGTAATTTAGAGGGCAACTCAATTTTTTAAAATGTAAATCCTCTTTAAGTGAGGAGTGTTTACAAAAACTTAAAGAATGGTGAAAACCAGAGTTCACTATCTCTTCTTTATCCAAAATGGTAGCCCGTCAAAAGTTTAATTACGTTACTATTACATTTATTTTCTTGTGTAATAAAAAGTAATTTCCCTCCCTCTAATTTGTTCCTAAGTAAATATTATAGAGCAATCCTTTTGGGGGTCATGCAATCTTAGCGGGAAGTTTCATTTTACGATTTTAAAATTTTTGAGTGTCCCCCAAAAAAGGGGATTTTGGGGTCAACTCAAAACTTTTAAATGTAAACCCCCTTCAAATGACACCTCATTTTAAAGTGTTTACAAAAACTTGAATGGTGAACTCAGAATTCGCTATATCATCTTTATCCAAAATGGTAGCCAGTCAAATGTTATTGAAAACCAATGGTAATATT